TCCTCTGTATATTCTGCTGTTAGCTTGAGTTACAAGTCTGGCGCTATGACACTTGAAAGTAAAAACCTCTACTTAACTCAAAAGTCTCTAATCAGTCTTCTTGTAACAACAAAATTGTTCTGAGAGTACCAGCAGGACTCACTGTTGCATGAAGAGTCTGGACTCTGAAGAATGAATATCAAGTATTAATAAGAGAGCAAGAAATAAAATAAATGTCTGAAGGTCACAGCAGGTAAGTTTAAAATCCATTACAGATCTCCTCCTCTTGGCTCCAGTCTGATGCTTTACCTGCCAGGCTGTTCCGAAAGCCTTCAGGAACAAATGTTCTTTGAACTATTAGGAGAAATAAAACGTTGCCAGTTCAATAGTATAGTTTGATAGCCGGGCACTGTGCAGTAATTATCCTTCCCTGGTGGCTCCTTGTTTATACCAAGGTCATGTAGCATCCTGCTATTCCCAGAACAGTGTGAAATAAGTGTTAGGGCTGTCCGTGCCTCACTTCCTAGCTCTTTAATCAAGAATACACACAAATACATCATGAGCTTTTGTGTTTCAGCAGTTTATTCCATCCCAGCAGAATATTAAAATATAGCTTTGCTTTTTTATTTTTGAGTTCAATGTAATACTTTTTATAAAGAAGAGACCTCAGTCAGCATGAAGTGGATCAGAGCTGCAATTAATGCAGTTGCCAGTCTAAGCAGGAAGCCTTGATACTGTTCCTCAGTCAAAGCATCCTGGATTTCTGCAGACCTTCAGTGCAGCACTGAAAAGCTTCTCACACCCGCAGGGTAAGATTGCAATTGGGAGGGAGGAAAGCAGGATGGATGGGAGTCTTAACAAAGGAACAAGTATCTGCCTGCAGAAGTGCTGCGCTACAAAAGAGAATGCTGTGTTGTCTCCTGTTGTTATATTTTATGTTAGCATACTCTAGTTCTTAAAGGATCTCTTTAGGAATTGAGGCTATTAAATGGGTTGTAAAAGTGAAACAAAAGCTCCTGTGAAGTAGAATCTGTCAGGCTGGGAACACGCCAGGTCTGTGCAAGGAGAACAGAATCAAAGCACTTTTAATCAGACTCATCTGATGGCCAGAGAAGTGCTGTGGCCTCATAAAAGGTCGCAGCCATGCTAATTCCAGTCTGTCCTTTGGAGTTGAAACAGTTCCTCCTGTCGAGAACAGGTGGTCAGGCTGCAGCACGTTGGTGCTTGTGAAATTCCTTGTAGCTCCAGGCTGTAATTAGCAATTTCATCCAGTTTGTTTATCAGTAAAAGGAGACTTACTTTGTCTGGAACAAGCACAGCGCGTGCCTCCACTTTCTCATAGTTCATAAGTTTCCCTTTGTTAAATGAGCACTTTCTGTTCTTATCCTCCGCAGTGAGGAAGAGCCAGAAGGAAGGAATGTGTAAAATTCTCCCCAGATTATTCCCTCGCTGGCAAAACAGCAGGTGAATAAGTTCCCTTTCAAACATGCAGAAGTTTCAATACTTGCAAGAATATCAATTTTCTTTAATGCTTCCCTGAAGTTTACCTGTTGAGAATTACCTGGCTGTGTAAATTCACACAGAAACCAGTGTTTCCAGTTGCTGCTCACTGGGAAATCTGGCTTTGTTTGTGATCTAGATAAGTTGCTTTAAACTGAAGTTCTTTAATCTTACAGTGAGGTGTTGTGGGAAAGGAGGCCTTATGTGCCCAAGCCAAACTGTACTGAACACAGTCTGCATTTCAGCTCTGTGGGAAACAGTTTCATACTGGCAGAGGTCTGGAGTCGCTCAGTTTCTTGCCTTTATAGTCTGATTTTTCCAGGTTTCCTCCTGTTCTGCAGCAAGTTTGGTTAAGAGTGATGCCTATCCTAGCTGCGAGTGCAAAGCTGTCTCCAAAGTCCCACTGCTGCTCTGCCTGCATTGTCCCTGGCAGATGTGACCATAAACGCAGATAACCAGAGATTTAAGGAGTTGGAGCTTGCTCTTGTACCTCAAAAAAGGCCCAGAAGCTGCTTTAAGTTTGTATAAAACTGTCTGATTCTTTTACTTCGAGCTCTAGAAATACAGACAGATTGCCATCCTGCTCAGTCGTGGTGCTGTATGGAGGTAAAGAGCATTCAGTGCATGGCCTGTTCTGTTCATGCAGCATCATGTGAGCGACTAGGGCTGTTCTCTCATGGTTCAGATTAGCATTTTCCTTGGGTGAAACAGGCACGTCAGGAGATTAGCACAGCATGATTTGGTACTGGTTACATTCAGGTTCATCAGCAATGGTCTGAACTTTGATTTTTGTGGGATTCCTTTTCAGACATTGTATCATCAATGAATGTACAGATGTTATAATTATGAAACATACCAGAGAGTTTGGCTAAGCACTTATTAAGCCAAAAGAAAATAGATGGATGCTTACCCATGTCCTGGGCTCACTGTAAAACTCCAAAGGAGGGATCTCCAGAAAGAGATCCTTCCCCACTGCTACTCAGCTCTTAAATGGGTCTAGGAAAGGTGCAGCCGGGCTCCACCCCTTCCTGCAGCACAGGTGAATTGCCTTCACCTGTGCTCCCATGGCTGACTCCTTGCTTGTCTTGGGTGATCAATCAGAGGTTCAGGCCGTGATTCAGCAGTTCCCATACAGGCATTATGCAGACATATATTTATAGTTGATGTTTTCCATTTCTAAAGCATCACTGAGAAAATTTGTCATCTGTACTATGGGGAAAGCACCAGATGGACAAATGGCTTATTAACACTGAGATACCAGCGTCATCTGGACAGCTTAACATGCAGTACGAGGTGCAATTAGGACACACATTTGTGCTGCTTGAAGCCTGAGTTCAATTTTCAAGGCTTGCTTGTGCTGATGGTGCTTGCTCCCTGCTCAGCTTGTGGTGCTCAGCCTGAAGGTCAGCATCTCCTTCTCTCTGCTGCCTGTTGCAGGAGTACTGGAACAGGTTGCCCAAGGAGGCTGTAGATGCCCCATCCCTGCAGGCATTCAAGGCCAGGCTGGATGTGGCTCTGGGCAGCCTGGTCTGCTGGTTGGCGACCCTGCACACAGCAGGGGGTTGGAACTGGATGAGCATTGTGGTCCTTTTCAACCCAGGCCATTCTATGGTACCCCAGATAGAGAATCTCCTGTGTGGCACAGGCAAACTGGGAGGAACTGGGCAGTGGCAACTGTGGATAAGTGGACTTTGATCTTCAGTTGTTGCCCAACACCAGGGGTTCTTGCACTGGTGCAGATTAAGATGGAAAAACCTGAACCAACTGATTGCAGCTGAGGTTTTGGCTTGCAAGTCTCACTTGAAAAGACTATTGAGAACCCTCAAGATCAACATCTTGCTGTCAAAAAGCGGTTCAAAATATTCCAAGAAAAAAGGTGAGTCTCTTCTTTCTTTGAGGCTGAAAGGAGACAACACTAATTTCATGCAGAAAAGATTGTATCTCAGACCGGCATAGGAATAGAAAATAAATAGGTATTAAATTACATTTGGCTGTTGCAAAGTAATCTAATAAAGCATCTGCTGAATCAATAGCCAAATCATTATCCAAGGCACACAGCAAGCATCCTTTTTTTTTTTCCCCTTAAATTTGAAGCATAAGAAAAAGGTTTTTTGCATTACCATAATAAAAAGAAGCAGAGTGCTTGAAGACCTCACAGGAATAAGGCAGAAAGAAAAGAGCCACACTTTATGCAAGTGTCATTTTCTCCATTTGAAACATGTATTTTAGGAATATTGTGAAATGAAGATTTTGCATTTAATGACTGTCAGATCTGTCAGCTTTGCTGAGCTGTCTGACAAAACGCAGCCTGCAGAAGAAGGCTGTGTGCAGGGAGAGTGGAAACACAAGACGAGGCTCTCAGCAATTCTGTTCACCTAATTGGGGCTCATTGGGGAAAAAAAAACAATAAACTGATGGAGCAGTTACCTGCTGAAAATGCAGTTTCATTAAATAGAATGAGATCTGCTGTGTTGGCTGCTGCTCACAGCTGCAACTTGCATGGCAGAGACTGCAGCTGCTGTTTGCAAGCAGAGCATTCCTGAAATCAGATTCTCTGTAATATATTCATTAATGCAGTGCAATGGAATAGGGAGCAGAGTTATAATATATTTCCAGGACACCAAGCTGGGAAGATATATAAGCAGCACAAAGGGTTGAATTACAATTTAAAATGATCTTGAGAAATGGGCTAAATGGTCTAAAACGGACAGCATGAAACTCCCCAAAAAAGAGAAGTGCAAAACTGCACTAAAAGTGAAACGAAGTGCACAAAACAGCTTATAACCTCTGTTCAGGTTGTGAAAATTTAGGTAAACCTCCCAGACACAGAACTGGCCAATGCTTTATTTTTGAAACGAAGTTGTCACAGCACAGCACAGCAATGCAAGTGTCTTGTGGCAGATGGAGTTGAGGAAGAGATTCGTTGTGGTCTTCTTTGGAAGATCTCTACTTGCAGGGTGCAGGCTCTTTGCTCCTTGCTTTGCAGATAGGGCAGCTCCAGAGGCTGTCAGTTGTGCTCCGTGCAGCAGCACCACTGCTGGGATGCTGCCAGAGCCCTCCGTCTGCTTTACAGGCAGAGAGTTCCTGATTTCTTGTTTCTTTTTCCTAGCTTTCCATCACCTTCCTAGTTTACTGATTGACTTTGTGTTTGCTTTGTAACTGCAGTACTTGGTGCTGGTTTCATAGAATCACAGAATGGCCTGGGGTGAAAAGAACCACAAAGATCATCTCGTTTCAACTCCCTGCTGTGTGCAGGTCACCAACCAGCAGCCCAGGCTGCCCAGAGCCACATCCAGCCTGGCCTTGAATGCCTGCAGGGATGGGGCATCCACAGCCTCCTTGGGCAACCTGTTCCGGTGCCTCACCACCCTCTGGGTGAAAAGCTTCTTCCTAATATCCAACCTAAACGTCCCCTGTCTCAGTTTAAAACCATTCCCCCTTGTCCTATCACTATCCACCCTTATAAACAGTTGTAGCCCCTCTTGTTTATAAGCTCCTTTCAAATATTGGAAGGCCACAATGAGGTTTCCCTGTAGACTTCTCCAAACTAAACAAGCCCAGTCTCCTCAACTTTTCCTCATAATTCAGAGGGCTGAATTTCTATCTCCTGGCTGCTTAGTGCTGAAGTTTTGGTGGGACCATTAATAGGAGGAACAGGAATGTTACAGGACGTCTGCGCAATGCCTAGATCGTTGTCAAGCCTGAGTATGAAATATACGTGCTGTTAATTGAAATAGATTACTCACTGAAGGCTTTATTGGCTGTTCTGCAACGAGATGAGTGCATTCAGGGAGCTGGATGGCTGCAGAGCTCAGCAGAACACCTGCATTTGGGTTATTTTTTGCCCCCTCCCACCTTGGCAGGGTTAGCTGTGTTGGTACAACAGGGCGATGCCAAGCTCAGCACACACACAGAGGCACTCCTTGCTCAGCCAGGGGTGCGTGCTGTGTGTGCAGGTAATGAGGGCAGCTGCTCCCAAGCCTGTTGCCCCCACCGAGCTGTGCCTCGGGCGCTTTGCAGGGAGATGACGGCGCTCTTTCCCAGCACTTGGATCACCCAATTCTACCGTGCGTGGGCAAGAAGGAGGAAGCAAAGCCAGATCTGGTGAGGAGTGCTTGAGAAGAATGCAGAGCTTGGTATGGGTGGGGATGGGAGCTGAGCCTCGAGCTACCAACACCGGTGGGAAGATGGAGCTGATTTTTTCACTACCTGGGTGATGTTATGTGTGAGCCACCAGCTCCCGGGGAAATGATATCCCATGTGGATCAGCGGTTTGAAGGCAGTGCTGCTCCCCGTGCAGCCACGTGATTTAATGAACACTTTGCTCAGCAACATCTGGAGCCAGGAGGATTGCAGAAGTTCAGCCTTCCCGAAGTGGAGCGGGGTTTTCTCCAGGAAGTGTGCACAGATGGCGCAGTGAAGCATGGCAGGGTTTGTTATTCTTTTTTAACTGTTCACTAGCAGTAGCTCTGATATTTGACTGACTCAATTCCCAGCCTTTGGGGTCCCTCCAGCTTTGCTGTGAGCCCCAGGAAGGTGCGCCCCAGCCTTCTCTCCCACGCTGTCTCCCAGCCTATCTCTTTTGGCCTAGAAACCACAGTGCTTTGGGAGGCTCAATCTGGCTGTGAATCCCATCCTGCTTCCATTCTCTGGAGCACAGTAGCCAGCAGGAAAGCTTCCCTTCCCTCAGTATCAGAGCAGACTCCTGTTGAGAGCTGGGCTGCAGTTCCTACCCCGTTATCTCCACCTCTGTGCCTTGCTGTGACCATTAGCTCAACATCATCCTGGAGATCTTTGCTCACCCCTTTGGATTCCTCCAGCCCCGCTGCTGATGCACAGCACTGATTCAGGTATTCACCACGTCTCTTTTGATGCAGCTTCAGGATGTGTGCTCACTGAATCCTGGCTGATGGAGAAGGAAGAGCAGAGCCTTCCGACTGTGCCACTGCTCCATCCGAAGCCCTCCTTGAGTCCAGCTGCGGACCCCCACCCTCCAAAAGGCAACCTCAGCTCCTGCAGCGGAGTCTGTCCCCGATGGGGAAACAGCTTTGAGAAACTCTAGAGGGTTAAAAAAAACCACAGCTCTGAAACGAGCCTGGGGGAAAAGTCACATGCACAGGGGAGGTTTTGCAAGTCAGTGCTTGTGGCGTGGGGTGATGGGAGTGCGGAGCTGCAGGCGCTCGCCTGCGCTGTGCATCCCAGCAGTGGGACCTCCCCAACCTGCAGGGCACAGTGATGGGCGGTGCGGGGCAATGAGGAGGAGGAGGGAGCAGAGTCTGCACCCCAGGAGCACAGCTGGATGAGGTATGGCTCCGGTGGGCTCTCCGTTGTGAGGACGCAGCAGTGGGGCTAGGTTGGCTGGGGCTTGGAGGGGTTTGTAGGGGCTTGGAGGCAAAGGGAATGGCTTTGTGTTAAAATAAGAGGTGTACAAAGATGAAGAGACCTGGGGAGTGCAGGTGGGGAAGGCTTTGAGGGGCCAAGCTCCATGCACGGGAGCAATAAGGGGCAGTGGAGCCAAGTGAGGTCTGTGCTGAACAAATGGCTTAAAGCAATGCTGCTGTTGTCTCTGGACTCGGCTGTGCTGGGGAAGGTTGTGACTGTAGGAGCTGCCCTGGATGCTCAGCAGTTCCAAAGTGCCTGGGACAGAGAGCACTGCTTCAGCTCTAACTTAATGTGACAGCTTGTAATTAGGCTTCCCTTCTGTCTCCAGCACTGAGAGCGGGTGCTGAGGCCATCCCCATGCGCAACCCACACCTCTTATGCAAAGTGCACCATGTTTGGCTTCTTCAAGCGTTGAGTTTCCAGCCTTTGCAGTTATTTTGTCCTTTCTTTGCAACCATATGAACCTTTTGTATTGCTTCCCTTGCCTCAATTTCCTGTCTGACAGTCCAGGCTATCCTGGCTTTGTGCAAAGGGGTGATTGCAGCAACAACCATTAGTAACAAAAAAAAGCAGCAGTCCTTTTGGAAGCTGAGCTGCTGAGATATGATACTGGGCAGTGTGCTCTCTTTGACTGCTTGAAGCAGGAGGATTGGACTGGGTGATCCCAAGGGGTACCTTCCAACCTCGACTGTTTTGTGATGAGGGACCCTCAAACCAATCTCCTGGTGCAAAAAGGTGGAGTTAAGCTTAAAATTAAATGATAACTTTGGCAGCAGAGTTGCAAGAATGGAAGATAAGTAAACTTCAAAGCATTCCATGCACTTGTTTTGCATAACCACCCACAAATCCTTCCAGCATTCCCTGGAAAACCCATGGGAACGGTGGCTGCTGTGGGGGTGAAGATGAGCAGAGCTCCCCACGTTGCTTCCTGCTCTGCTGCTGCTCTCCTCTGCTTCGGCGGGTGCACAGTTCTTCCTTATCTGCACCATTTCCTCCCTGTGATAGGGTATTCCTGTAATCCAAATAAGCAAGAGGAGAGCCTGTGCCTATTGCACTGTTAGCACCTTCGTGGTGCTCGGTGCTCTCACCCTTTATTTGCTGTCTCTGCAAGATTTTTGAATTCTTCTCCTTCCTCTTTTCGGGACTAGAAAATGCTGCCATGCTCAAGGAAAGTAGAATCTCAAGGAAGTTGCCAGCGGGAGTCTGAGTGAGGATTTCACAACCTGGTCCCCGGCGAGGAGGGCGAGCTGCCTGCTGCCTGGTGCTGTGAGATAAGGGAGATCCAAGAAGCGCTGAATCGCTGACGCTACGGCACAAAGTTCTTAAGGAGTGGTGCCTTCAGCATGGCCTATAAAAGCCAGGATGGTGGGATTGAGAAAAACAGCTCGCTTTCCTCTGTCCTGTATTGTAAGAGTGATTTGAAGGAAGGATCCCGGCAGTGGCTGAAAGGTAAGTGAACAGGGTTGGACCAGAAAGTCTTTCAAGATTCTCTTCCAATTTCAGCTGTTCTGTGGGTCTGTGAGCTTGCTGGTGACTGAGAAATGCAGCGCTGAGCGCAGTGCCAAGCAAAACCTTTACAGTGTTTTTTGCAAGCGAAGAAATCTTTGGGAAGCTTGACCTGTGCTTTCTGAGTGCCTCTCCTCCCCATTAACTGAGTGCTGCCTCTGCAGCAGTGCCTCTGAAGCTGCCTGGGATGCTGTGCAGGGACTGAACACAGTGCTGTGGATGGCCTTTTTTGCACTGAGTGTTCAGCAGTTCTGTTTGTGGCACCTCCCTGTGCTCTGCTTTCACAGCGCTGAAGCAGCTCCAGCAGAGGCCACAGCCTGAGCCCCTCTGCAGATTTTGGGTATCTGAGCTCGGTACCTGGCATAGTGTTACGCCAAGCACCTTGACCAAAGCCATGGAGAACAGGAGAGCCCAGCCCAAGGGCTAAGGCCATTTGTTTTCATTCTTGCTTCATACTCATCGCCTCCACTGCTTAATCTGGGGATTAATTTCAGCAAAAAAAAGTAGGACATTATTATCCTAGAGATTCTAGATGCATCTTTTCTTCCCTTCTTGACTTGAGGCAGTCACACCCTATTGTAATGCAATTGCCTCAGTTAATTTGGCACCTCCTGTACCTGAGCAGTGAAGAGATGATGAGGATAGAGGATGAAAGCAGGACAGAAGGGAAAGGGGAGTGCATGCTGCTCTTGGGCCAGCACAGCAGCCTGGGGGAGCACTGCACTGTGCCATAGAAGCAGCCCCAAGGCATGGGCTATCCCCAGAGCTGCAGAAAGGAAGGAAAGCTGGATGAAACGTGTCGGTGAAATAGGAGCTCATGTGAAAACACCACTTTCTTAGCCCTGATTTCTTCTTGTTGGCATAGGTCAGTTTGTGTAAGCCATGCTGCTGACCTCTCTGGGTTTTTGCAGAACCCCGCAATGGCCAGGTGCTCATGGTGCTCAGCATGGACAACACCTGCTCATCTGCCTCCTTCAACATGGAGTTTTGTGCAGAGAAACTCCAGTCCCTGGGGGTTCAGGTAAGCTGCTCACCTGTCATCTCCCCTGGTGGCCCATTGGAGTGAATGCTGGCTGGGTTGACACCGTTTGCACCCAGTTCACAGAGAGTTTTTTAAAGTTTCTTTTTTTTTTTTTTTCTTTTTGGGTGTGAAGTTGGTTTGTTTCAGTTTAATTTCAGTCTATTCCTCATTGACTTCAAGACAACTGTAATGACCTTGGCTTAAAGCTCCGTGAAGAAACCCATTCAGTGCAGGTTCAGCTGAAGAGCATGAAAGCATTCCAATGTGCTAGAACATCCCTGGGACAATCTGTCTCATCTTGTCCTTTGCCATAAAAACACACTTTTCCTCTTATGACTTTCCCTGCCCTTTGCAGGGAGACATCGCTCACTGCAAATGAAGCAGCACGCAGCGTTCTGATCAGTGACAGCCATAGGGATGAGGCTGGAGTCTGAGCCTGTGCCCTCTGCACGCATCGGGGCTGCAATGCGGGCTGGGCCCCACCAGACCTTTCTGAGGTGTTCTGATGGAGCTGAGGGCCCGGTGGGGTTGGGGAATGGCTGTGCCCCAGAGGGCAGTGGGCACTGCACATCTCCCAGGGCAGTGGGCATGGCCCTGCAGCTCAGGGGGGCGTGGGGTTGTGTAGTGCTGCCTGGAGCTGGGAGTTGGACACCGTGATCCTTTGGGTCCTTTCCCACCCAAGGCAATCCATGATTCTTGCTCCTGGTTCCCTGAGCAGGCGGCAGCGGGTGAGTGGAGGAGGCTGATCGAGGAGGCAGTCCTGAAGCCTGAAGTGAGGCGATACCTCTTCTACAACTCCAGGGCATTCCAGATAGCCATTGCTGTGGTAAGGATGCTGGGCTCTCCCTCCGTTTTCCTGTTTTTTGTTTTGTTTCTAATGCAAAGGCTGAGTTTGCTAGTCCTTAGCATCCTCCTTGAGCCCAGTGTCCATCTCCCTTCACCACCCTGAGTGCTCCGATAAAGAGAGGACTATCACAAGCGTTATCAGTATTCCTCAGTGAGCACATAGCTTATCTAAATGGAAGAACTCAACTGAAAACGTTCCTAGATATGAATCATCATTAATAATTCAGTTTGTCTTTGACGATTGGTAACTTTTGATGATAAACTAGTTCTCAGTCCTCCTAGACCCCTCTCTCCTTGATTTATTTTTGCAAAGAGCTCATGTCCTCCCTCACTCTCTGAATATCCCAGACGACTTAATTAATTTATGGCAAGGTCTCTTCTTCCCTTGACTTCTCTCACTTCTGAAGTTTTACAAGAGCCATCCATCTCTCTGGGTTCTCACAGATTTTCTACATGTCTCTCTGGATAAACATTTACACCACGGTCCAGCTCTGCTCCTTCGGACGCTACTGGGAGGCCAGCGTGCTGGTGACTCTGGCTGCTGTGGCTGTCACTGTGGTTGTGATCCTGGTCATCGACCGCCGTCAGAGAAAGGTGAGCTGACCCAGGGAGTGAGGGGTGTGAGTTCCCTCCCATTGAAGTGCTGGGATCTGCAGCTTTGGTACACATCCAAAGGAGGGCGACAATGCTGGTGAAGGGTCTGGAGCACAAATCTGATGAGGAATGTCTGAGAGAATCATTTAGTCTGCAAAAGAGGAGGCTCAGGGGAGACCTTATTGCCCTCTACAACTCCCTGAAAAGAGGTTGCAGTGAGGTGGGGATTGGCCTCTTCTCTCATTGTAGCAGTGATAGGATGAGAGGTGATGGCCTTCAGTTGTGCCAGGGGATGTTCAGGTTGGATATTAAGAATTGTTTCTTCTCCAGAAGAGCAGTGATGCATTGGCACAGGCTGCCCAGTGAGTGGTGGAGTCACCATGCCTGGAGGTGTGGCACTGAAGAACCGTGGGCATGGTTAGTGGGGATGGGTTGGGATTGCATTTGGTGCCCCTAGTGATCTTTTCCAGCCTTAATGATTCTGTGTGTATGCTCCATCCCTGAAGGTGTTCAAGACCAGGTTGGATGGAGCCCTGGGCAGCCTGCTCTAGTACCAGATCTGGAGGTTGGTGGCAGGGGATTGGAACTTGATGATCCTTGGGGTCCCTTGCAACCCAAGCCATGCTATGATGCTATGATGCTATGATGCTATGATGCTATGATGCTATCTCCTAGATGCATATGGGGAACATGGTTAGCAGAGGGAGGACAGAGTATTTTTAGAGCAGGCTCAGAGATCTGGTTCAGGCAAGGGATGTTGAGCTTGGTGTCATAATGCTAGAAAGTATGTGTGAAAGTAAGAAAGGGATGCTCAAAGCACCTGCTGTTGCTGGGAAAAAGCAACCGTTGCACAGCTCCCACTCCCACGGTGGTGAGCAGCCTCGAGCTGGGCCAAGTTTTGCCACAGAGCAAGTTAATTTTTCCTGCATTCTTTCCTAGATAAATATGAATACAGATGTGCGGCTGGCAGCTGTCAATGAATTCTTTATCAAACACAGCTTAATTCTGGGGATTACTGATGTCCTGGATGGGCCACACAGCATCCTACAAGTATCCTTTCTGTGCAGAATTTTTCCTAGCCCCTGGGCAGCCTGATCTGGTGAGGGGCAAACAGCCCATAGCAGTGGGGTTGGAACTTGATGGTCCCTTCCAACCCAACCATTCTGTGATTCTGTGATGGGGAGAATGTTTACTGATGTAGTGATCAATAAGGCTTTCCAGAGGGTGGGATTTCTAAGATTCTTTTCTTCCTATTGGATGGCGTGGAGAATTGGGTATTTTTCTTCTCCCATCCATAGGCATTGAGATATACCCAAAGGCCACTGGGAAGAGTCTAAATGACTGAAGTGAAATTAGTCCTTGGGGCAGACAATTATTCCTGAAACTGTATTATGTTTACATGGCGATGATGAGTCTTATTATGAGAATCACAGCAGTGTGCCTATGGCAAAAACAAACAAACCACAGAAAAGTGGAGTCCCAGTTGTGTTGTTCCTTGCAGAGAGGAGCTAAGCCAGCAGCATCCGAGTGCCTCTGCTCTCAGGAAGCAGCAGGGTCTGTTGTGACACAAGGGAAAATGGTTTCCAACTAAAAGAGGGGAGATTTAGATTGGATGTAAGGAAGGAGTTTTTTACAATAAAGGCACTGAGGCACTGCACAGGTTGCCCAGAGGGCTGGTGATGCTCCATCCCTATAGACATCCAAGGCCAGGCTGTTGGGGCTCTGAGCACTGATGGAGCTGTGAGTGTCCCTGTGCACTGCAAGGAGTGGGACCCGATGGCTTTTAAGATCCTTCCAACTCAAACCACTCTATGGTTCTTAACCTGCTCATCCCAGCTGTGGTTTGTGCACTTCAACCCCGAGCTCTGCCTTCAGTCCCTGTCAGCCCACATCACAGAGCTGCAGCAGGCACAAGAGGTAAATGACACCCTATGGCCTGTCTCTGCTGAAAACTGGGAGCTGAGCAAACTGGGAGGTGAACAAACTGCATTTACTGGTGCCCAGTGCGGCAGGAATTTATTTAGGACCTGGTGGTGTGAGCACTGCTGGGTAATCAACTGTGCAACTTTTGGTAAAGGAAAGTCGCCAAGGGTAAATGCTGAAGGCAGGTGTTACTGTCTGAAATAGCTGACACCTTGAGCTGTCCTCCTGAAATAATGAGATGGCCTGAGGAATAAATAAGCACCGCACTGGGTACCTGGATGGGAATTTTGTCCTCTTGGCCTTCGGAAAGTCTCTTCTTTTTTGTGGGTGCATAGATACTCAAACTCTGCTGGCCAGTTGTGGCTGCAGGACAGGAGGTGAGGGGTACAACCCCCGAATCTTGTACTTTTCTTGACTCCTGGGAGGATAGTTTTGGTAGGAAATCATGCTCTTTGTCTCCTTGCATCCCCCAAACTGTCCTTCTCCTGCAGCTGGGCTGGCGGCACAGGCTGGACCAGCTCTGTGTGGTGATGGAGGTGGCTGTTCCTGCAGCTGAGGACACTTCATGTGAGGAATCACCTCTCCTATCCAGTGGGGAGAACTTCAAGAAAGAGCCCATGATGTGCAATGAGCTGCTCCACCTCATCCCTGATGGCCCCCCAGAGGTAATGAGAAATCCCCTCCTATGGGCAGAGCATCTCCTGGGCAGGTTGCCTCCAAAGCACATCCCAGTAGGCATCACCCATGGGGTAGAACACCTGCAGACCTAGAGGTCCCCTCATGCCTTATCCAGTCCTGACAGTACCAAGCAAGCAGTTCATGCTTATGGCCTTGATGCTGTCTGTTTTATGGGCCAGACGTTTTCTTCTGGTCCCTATTTGGAAGTAGATGTCTGCTAGGACCTGGTGCCCATGTCTGGGCTGAGTATGGCCATGCTGAGCCCTCATCTCTTCCATGGAGCATGCCCTCAAACACTCGTGCCATGCTGAGTGACAAATGTGTCCTCATTTCCACTCAGCAAGAAGCTTCAAAAGAGATTATTCTGATTTATTTCTCAGTTTTCTGCTTGCTGTTTCTAAATGAATTCAGTGCAGGTGACATCCCTGTTGGTAGATGCTCTCCAGCCATCTGATGGCAAAAAAAAAACAAAAAAAAACCACCCAAGAGGAGGTGATGGCAGAACAGGAGGGTTCCTGAGCAGCCTGGCTCCCAGCCACTCCATCCCAGCCCTGGGCTGCCTTGCTGCTTGCCTCCAGCCTGACTTGTCACTGTCCTGGGGACAGCATGCCAGCGCTGCTAAGCAGAAGGGGATATGGAACAGTTATGTATCCGTCCTTGGCTTCTGTCCTGATTCTGTTGGACAAAAGCAGTGTTTGAACGAGGCAGACGCTGACCCTCTCATGCTCATTCCAGGTGATGGCCCAGCAGCTCCTGGTGATCTTCAGTGCCTGCTATGTGAGGCTGCTGGTCAGTGGCCGGCTGCCCCGTCCTGTGCTCTCTGGGCACATGGAGGGCAGCAGTGTGCCCTGCCCGTGCCAGTTCATCCAGGCCTCTGTGCTCAGCACAGAGCGCTGCTGGCTGCGGGGCAGAGGGCTGCGGGGGGCTGAAGGGCAAGCACAGCAGTATGAAGAGGCAGAGAAGGCTGTCACCACTCATCCTGGACTCTGGAAGAAGGAGTGGAAATAGGACTCTAATAAAGCATGCGAACTTGCCATGCGTTCATTAGTGCTGTGCTGTAAGCCCACAAGTAATCACACTGGGGTATCACTGGTTTGCTGTGCACAGGGGTGGTACGAACCATGCTCTCAGACTCTGTGCTTTGGTTGATTTTACCTTCTTGGAAGCAGTCTGAATGCAAAGTCAGTGGGAGCACAGTTTGTTTTCACAGTATACAAATTGGATTCACTGCTGGGATGCAATGGCTCGTGCATTAGCCACGTGAAGTGCTTCTTGGTATGGAGTGCTGCTTGGAAAACCTCCTGCTGGGTCAGCATGAGGGAATCAGGCCAGGCTTGGAGCACAGGGCTCTCCAGCAGAGCCCAAAGAGGGGACAAAGCTCAGCAGCTTCCATGCTGTGTTCTGCACACCACTGTTGCCCCCACATCCCAGAGAGGGACATGGCATCCCCAGGGAGGGACGTGGTATCTGCAGGGATGGATGCAGTCTCTTATCCACAGTGATAGGGAGCTGCCATGGACCCTCCATCACTGGTAGCTGAAACAGCTTCCCTAATTGCAATAAGCACCTAGCAATTAGCTGGGTGTTAAGCATTGAATAAAGCTTAACTTTACTCAGAGGAGGCATTTGATTCCTCTTGCTAATGCACCCCAGCACCTGCCATGCTCTGGCCCTATTGCAAGGCAGATGGTTAATACCTCACTTTTCCTTCCTGTGCTCTTAATTAAAACATCAGTGATGAGAGACATCCCTTCCCCCCTCCCAAGGATACAGCTGTTATTCCACAGGAAATGTGATATTCTGGAGAGTTTACAGGACCCCCAGGCACACAGCTCCCTGGTACACGGCAGTGCATTCTGCTACCCAGCAGAGTGCCAGGTGATGTGAAGTCACAAAGATCCTCCCAGGGAGATGTTGCTCGTGGGTCTCAGTGCCACAGTGGGGTATGGCTGCATGGCCATTTCCCCAGAATAAATCACTCTGTGGGCTGCTCCGTGGGGCTGAGTGGTGGCTCTGGGTGCTGCTGGCAGCACAGTGTTCCCAGTCTCTGGGCCGTGTAGCTTCGGGCAGAGGGGAAGGGGACAACAGTCAGCAAATGGCAGCAATGCATCACAGGGGTTGTACCAATAGCCCTCCCCAGGCTGCCCAGAGCTCACCTCCATGAGATGGGAGCCCTTATGGGGAGGGTCTGCCAGGAGATGCTGAGTCAGTGATAGGGTGCAGCCAAAAGGAAGAGAAGAAATGGAGTTCATCTAATGGGTCGAAGGAGTGGTGCTTGGGCGGGTATCCTGGCTGTGATTCAAGCCACTCCGTTATCAGGCTTTCTCCCCAGACAAGCCGAGGCCATAAAATATGCAGCGTGTTTGCCATGCAGAAATCCCACTTATGCTCTCTTGAGGTTTCCTTACCATTGATAATTACTCAAACCATTTTCTCTGGGGCTCAGCAAAGCTGTCTTTCCCAGCCTGCCTGCTTCGCTCTCCTCTGCATTTCTGCATCCCTGCAGCCCGGTTCCTCTTCTCCCTCCTCCTGTGCAGATGGAATGTAGCTCCATGGTGTGTTTGAAGCATGGGGAGCAAGGAGCTTAGGGAGCATCAGCCACAGGGCTGAGCAGACCTAAGAGCCAGGTGAATTCTGAACCCTGTTTCCTTAGGCTAGAGCAATGTGCTTCCTATCTCCAATTGCTCCTCAATGAACTGAGCTCCTACCTTGATGACCTTGCCTCGGGGCTAATGGGAAGCAGGCACTGCATCTCACAGCGCTGCAAACCCACGGCCTGGGCTGCTGCGGAAGAAAGTGCAAGATCATGGTGTGAGATAGAAAGGAGATAACATCACGTGGTCTTGTTCCGGTGTTTCATGTTGGGAGGTTTGAGGAAGCCCTGATGCACAAGGCTGAAAGCTGTAATTTGGCACAGAGAGCTTTACATCAGCGGGAGCCCTGCTGTGCTTTTGTGCAGTGCCTGTGAAAGGCAAGGGCATGAATGAACGTGAATCATAGAATGGCTTGGGTTGGAAGGGACCCCAAGGATCATCAAGTTCCAACCCTTAAAAGCATGGACCACAATCTTTGCTCTTAATGCTTAATAATAACTCCCCATCACATCACCAGATGTTACTGGAGCTTGCAGAATGTGTGATGCGAGATCTGTAAGTGTGGTAAAATTCAAGTCAAAGAAAAAACCCAAGCCCTCCACATTGTCCTGCTGTTGACCCTCCCAGTCCTGCCCCAAACCCACAGCCACCACTCCCTTCTGGAGGACACATCCACAGAGTGCTTTGCCAGGACATGAGCGAATGTCTGCAACACAGCTTTGTGTTTTAGCAAGGAGAGCTGGAGGGGTGAGCTCCTCTTCCAAAGCTTTGCTTACCAAGCCTTTGGTTTCCCCCACTCCAAAACTAATGCAGACAGGCCCTTTGCCCAAAGCGTGCCATAGAACTGGTGTGTCCCGCTGTCCTGGCTGTGCAGGCACATCCCTCTAGATGGTGCTAAGCTAAAGAGAAAAGGGTGGCCTTGGAGCGCTGTCCTGCAGTGTGTGCACCTCTGCATGTTGGGCACTGCCAGGTCTGGCATGGGGGAACGACTCTGCTCACCGCGTGTTCCCATGTATCCATTCCAGTGCTCTCCTATGGCTCCTGAAGATATCCCTTGAGCAGAGGTAATGAGAGCTGTTACAAGGAGCCATGTGGCCACTACAGCTTGGATTAAATGCCTGTTTTCCCAATGGAAGGCCACCTCAAGAGCTCACAGCCTGGCTGCCAGAGAAGAGCAGTGGGGGATACTTACCAGTGCAGGGGAGAACTTAGCAGTCAGCAAACAGATTTTGTTTTGGATGGGCAGTAAGTATGCTATTGAAATAGAGCTGTTGTTAGAAAAGACTTATTTTTGATTCTATGATTCAAATCTATTTTTCTTCTTGTTAAGTGCAAATAGGGGAAGAGCATCCCAATTGATACTTAGAGCAGTGTGATGATGTAACACTGGGGAGAGGAGAGCTGAGCTCCTTGTTCTGCAGAGATAAAGGCGTTTGTGCACGTTGGTCACATTGATGCATGACTTGCTGCTTTGGGAACAGTATCATACACAGGTTTTGTTGCTCTCCAATATAGGTCTGTTGGTGTCAGCAGTGAGTGCAGCTTCTACTCATACAGCAGAGGAGGAAAGCTTTGGCCAAGTTTCCCTTCCAAGAATGGCTTGTTTCCATTCATGATGAGCCCAGAAATTGGATTAAGAGCTCTGGTATTTAAAATCCATAATCTGGATATGGTTTTCAGAACAGTTCAGCCCCTTTGTAAGTGGTAAATTATGCCCATAAGAGCTCAGCACTTTGCCTTGGGCATCCTGATGTAAAATGCAATGATTAGTGTAAAGCTCAGCACCCAGAACTCTGGTATTGTGGGAAAACCATGGTGATGATCAGAGCTGATGGGAGACCTGAGCTTTCCTGAAGGTCAGATTCCTCATTTTCTTCTTTCCTTTCCAAGAACTGCCAGCACCTCTGAAATACATTGCCCTCACATTAATCCTTGGGCATCCTCCAGACAACCTAATGCCCCTCAAAGCTCTCAAAGCTACAGACATTGCCCGTGACCCCAGCACACTGCCCTGTGATGTGGCAGCAGCGAAAGGCACAGCATGCAGCTGTAAACACGGGGCTGCTGCTGTTTACTTCAGCTCTGAACAGCAGTCACAAGCAGGCCAGGATGGAAAACTGCATTGGCGTCACCAGGAATGGAAGCGTCAGCAAATGTCAACTACTCCAAACAAAGCTGTCCTCACAGTGCCTGGCCTGCAGGGAATGGGATGGTCGCAGTGTGCTGGAGTTGGTGAGGTTGTCTGAGATTGCAATTACCAGACAGGAGAAGGTGTTTTGGAGCCAAAGTTGGCACGGTGTTTTTCCAGATGCTTCATTCTTGGCATCAGCATTGGGGGATTCCTGCTGAATCAAACATGCCCCAGGTGGGACTGGCACGTAGCACCTTGATGACCTCTTTGCCAGGGCACAGGTCTTGTTTTGTGGCAGGCCGATGACACCAGCTGCACAGGGCTTTTCTTACCAGCCTGGATGCAGCAGTTGCAAAAAACGCAGCAGGTTTCTGAAGAACTGATCCTGGCATCTGTAAGTCATGCAGAGATGAAGGTGATCACCAGCATTGCATGGCAAACCCCCCATCACGGTTTGGCTGTGCCTTTCCCGACCCTCATTACTCAGTCCAAATTTCTTGTTGCAGAACACTTTTTCACAACACTGTTTTCCTGCAGGAGGAGGTTTGTGTTGTGCCATTCTTTGCCTTCTACCCGCTGCCCACTCTGTCTCCTTGGTTCCCTTCCAACTTCCAGCGAGTTCACGATGCAAACTAAAACTGGCTGCTGAAACAATTTGCAAATGCGAATCTGCATTTTCTCTCCAAGCTGTGTCTGTGTTTTCCCCCAGCGTGGGCATCAGCAGCCACCAGTTTGCACCAGCGCCAAGCTGGGTGAGAGGTGGAGTCCCCACCCCCTCACCATTGGGGGCATGGAGCATGCGATGAATGTGATACAAACTCTTTCCCTTCCCGCCAGCATCTGGCGTCACGTCTCACCACGAGTGAGAAATCCCAACTTCAGGAGAGGAAATTTTTTTTTTGCCTGATTCCAAAAGTAGTATTGGGATCTTTAAATACACGAGCTGAAAGTTTTCATTCGACATCCTTGGCTACTACTGGTGTGTGTGCAATAGCCTCATGTGATGCAGCTCTTTATCAGGAAGGAATCCCAGCTGCGGTTAATTCATGCTGCAATGCTGTCAGGCAGCCAATGAGCTGAGGACATTTGACTCATGACTCCAACTTTTGGTTTTGTTGTAACTCCAGATTCATTTCCAGTGATGAACTATGGCTCATAAGGCACAGCAGTGCTTCCAGTAATGAAAGGGAGACCGCAGCAGCTGCATGGAAAGGGAAGTACTCTCCCAATGACACTGCATGCTGTTAGATGGTTAGGCTGCAGGATATTTCTTTCAGGCTGAAACAAGGAGAAAGTTGCATCAATGGCAGCAGGATGATTGGAACCCTGAGCAGTGAATGAGGCACATGGAAAAATGCCTTTTTCTTAAGATATCCCCAGTATGGAAATGATTTGTGTTTGAAGAGATGATGGTTGCATGATAAATACCAGTGAAATATGTCCTTGCCCATGGCAGGGGACTTGGAATTACACTATCTTTAAGGTCCCTTCCAACCCAATCCATTCTATGATTCTACAAATACCAAATAACTGTAGCAAAAATGTCCCTGGCATGTAAAGAAACCTCCGTGTTACTATAGAAGTTGGTCAGAGTACAGCGATGTTGCTGTAGTCGCTGGTTATTATTTACACAAAGTGATATTTCATTCCTCCTCAGTGATGCTGCTGCCCTGGGGCCAGGTGCTTTGCCTTGTGGCTGGTCAGGAGCTGAAGAAGTCCAAAGACTTGTCAGGTACAGGATCATCCAATCATAGAATGGCTCAGATTGGAAGGGACCTTAAAGATCATCTTGTTTTGGCCTCCTGCCATGGGCTGGTTGCCCCCCACCAGCACAGGCTGCTCAGGGCTCCATCCATGGCACCTCCAGGGATGGGGCATCCACGGCTTCTTTGAGCAAATGGAGCACGATGGGCCAGGGCTGCACTCTGTCTTTGTTTCTGAACAAGTGTTGGTCAGTACCTTGAAAGGGAATGGTGCAGAGCCACGTCCTTAGCCAGTGTAATAACTGTACTCTGGCTAGAGGGTGATAAATGTGATGAACTTCAACGGGACTTCATCAGCTCACAGCCACTGAAGCTGCGGTTGGTCACATTTGGAAGCAAATTGCATGAAAATGGTTGCAATTAATGTAAATGGGAGTGATGTTTTTACAGCAGGCCAGGGCTTTAGCTGTCACATTAATGGAACATTATGGAGAAATTGCTCTGGGCTGCTTCAAAAACGAGCCTGGGGCACTCATGCTGTGTGGCAGATGCTGGCTCTGTAGGTCCTGCCTGGTGAGCAGCCTCTAACAGCAGAATTCTCACCACCAGAGGTAACAGTGCTGAGTGAAGCACTGATGTCTGTGCTGAGACAGACCAGCACTGCTCAGGGCTGGCTGGCATCGGCTGTCCCAGGAATGCACTGCATCACTGGGGTAATCCCTCTTACTGCCTGCACATCCGTTCTCCTTGCTGAACCAGATGAAGGTTTTCAGGCAGCCTCTCCTCACCGCTACCTCATTCCCACATACTTTCCAGAATCTCTTTCCCTGAATAGGAATGCAAAGGCTCAGGGCCACAAGAGCTTCAAGAGTCACCCCTGGCAGAGACCAGCGTCGTCTCCTGGTGTTTTCCAGGGGTGAAGTCGTGCCAGCAGGCCGTGCCAGCAGGCTGGGCTGCAGTCCTGTTGCTGCTCTTGGCACAAGTCGGTGCAGGAGCCCTGGTGCTTCCTCGCTCAGCTCCTCCAGGGTAGGGCAGGGCTGGGCTGGGAGCACACTGGGAGCAGGATGGCTGATGTTCCTTGGGCTGTTATGGCTTTTATCAAAGGAGAGCGCTCAAAAAATCATTAAACCCGTTTTTTTTTTAACCTACTGTTGAAGATGCATTGATTCTAGGAAAGTGCTGTTTCCTCCTTGATATAAATCGTAATGAATAATTCTCGATAAAGGCGATGGATCACCTCCTCTCCGCCTTTGGTTTATTAAATACGTTCCTATTAAAAGTTATGATCTCATCTGCTTTCACTGTGTGTTAAAACCTGTTTCTACAGCTGTTCACAGAAATAACCCCCAGCTAGCTCATATTTTCCCATGCCTACCTTATCCTACTATTATTCTTATTCTTTTAACAAGAATAAAATAAGACTGTGAAATAGAATGCAAGAATGACACAGTACAGCTGAGATTATTGCTCTGCTGCATTTTGCCAGTGTTGGTTTCCTGGAGGACACTTTAGAGTTGATTTTCTTGTTCTCTGCCCATGCTGATTACAGGGATGAAGCATTTCTGCAAGTGCTGCTGTGGTTTCTTCTTCTCCGTTGTGCTGTTTCTAAATGGGATGCAGCAAGCCTTCCCCCCTGCTTCTGTTGTATCCCACCTGCAAACCCTCTAAAGCAGTGACCCTGCTTTTTTCCAGTTCTTCTTCCAGTCCTGCTTGGGCTGGGAGATGCTGGTCCAGGGAAGGAGCAGGGAGAGGATGGGGCCAAGAATCTTACTGCAGAAGGAATAAAAGCAAAGCAGCGATGGAGGCTGTGTGCAGGGAGCAGAGAATCCCCCAACCCCTAAAGCCTGCTGCAGCAGGAGGACGTGGTCCAGGAGCACCCAAACATTGATACAAACCTGCTGATTGAAGCTCTGTAGGAAAGGATGGGAGCTCAGGAGAAGCACAGGTTGTTGGTGAGGCGTGCCTGGAGCACACATGTTGTGCTGGCTTCCTGTACTGCACAACAGCAGGTGGCTTTCTGGAGTGTGTGGCTGGATGGATGTCTTCCCATGAGACCTTTCCCCCTTTGCCATCTGGAAGCATCCTGATTTACTCTGCCTGGAAAAGGGAAACAGTTTGATCAGCCCCACTTGCTGACTTATCTGGTCCTTTTGGGGAAGCTGATGAAGTTCTGCATCTAAAGTTCATCATCCACTCTGTAACACACCCCTTGTTCTCATCTACTTTCCCTCCATGTGCTCAGGTCCTTCCTCCCAACAGAGCTGTGTGTGAAGAGCTGGGTGCAGCTCAGCCTGACTCACTGGCAGGCTGTTGGATGAACTTCCTGCTATGTCCTAGATCCAGCACTGAGTTCTTGGATAAGTGTGAAAATCCAGCTGCATTAGGCAAACCAGATTTAAAAGTGGCCCAGGCTATCAGATCCAAGCTCACCACTCCAGAATAGCTCATCCAAATACTTCATGTTTTCAAAGAAGCACCCTGCTGTCCAAATAGCAGCTACACTTGGCCAGTCAAAACAGCCATCTGGGAAATGAGGCTTGTTTATGGAGTTTGGAAGCAAACAAGAAAAAAGCACACAGCCTTTGTGCTTTAGTGGGAACTCCAGGTTAACAGCACAGCAAGGGACAGGGACTGGGCACAACGAGGTGCTGGGACATAGAGGGAGGCAGTAGGAAGGGGTGATGAATGCATCCCTGTGCACTGAGCTCATGAGCTATCTCTTGTCAGATTTATTGTTAGTGTGCAGAGTGCTGCTGATGTGCTCACATCTGGGTGCACAGGGTACCACTAAGAACATTTTGCCATCCCAGAGGATCAGCTGGGAATGTTAATGCTTCTGGCAGCTGTTTCCCAACGTGACATGAGGAGGGAACCCAGCACTCCCAAACAGATCATTCAACACCCCAAATCCCCATGGAACAGTGCATACTGCATCTGTTTAGGCACAGTGCCAGGGGATGGGAATGGCTTTCTGCCTTGAGATGCTGCCACATCTCCTGGTTTTGTGGGCCCAACCGTGCCTATGGCTGTGGTCCTGATCCTGCTGCTCTGCGGGCACCGTAACTCCAAGAACTGCTTGGGTCTTGATTACAGTTAAACATCAGCCTTACCTGTGCTATTAATGGGGTCTTTCCATGAACTGGGCTGGTTGCCTTCCCATCTGCAAAACCCTGCAGTGACAAGCCCATCCCTGGAGCCAGGACGGACCAATGGCCAAACTGCCAGCCACAGCTATGCAGGTCACAGGTAGGGCTGGAGGAGTGTGAGATTCCCTGTCCCAAGAGGTTGCATCACACTTGAATCACCCAAGCGAAAAAAAGATGTCATCATCACCCTTCTGCTGCTCTGTGTAAAGTGAGGTGTGAGAAGAGCGAGTCACTGCCTTATGCTTGCAGGGGAAATCGATGATGAAAGCAGGAATCCAGCTCTGGCCTGCAGCCAGAGGTGGTGTTTCAGAGCAGCAGATTTCCTATGGGCGCTTGGCTCAGCACCCACAAGCCTTGTGTGCCACGGCAGCATTTGGGAGAAGACCAGAATAGGCAGAAGGGGAAGAAAAGCCACAAAACTTAAAAAAAAAAAAAACTACAACAGGTGAAATGTAAATGAATGAAAACGTTCCATTTTCATCAATGGAATTATCCCCAGTTTACACAAGATAAATCAGATTTAAGAGCCATGCCCCTATTTGTGAATGTCCTTGCACATCAGCATGTGAGGCAAGTTGTATTCACACCCCTATCCAACCACAACAAAGAGGAAAATTATTTATGAGGGCTATTAACATAATTGATTAGCTGAGGAACAGTTGCCACCGCACAGTAACAACACACACGTGTGTGATTAGCATCTTGCAGCTGAGCTCAGCAAGCATTTGTGTCAGTTGTGAGGTATTCAGACACCTCTGGCTCGTGTTAAGGTGATTGATGGAGTGCCTGAGCTGGCACGTAGAGTCAAACAAAACAGTGTGTTGGGTGGTTTTTAAGCTCAGCAAAATTAGGAAGATCTTGTGGCTGATGAGGCAAGCCATCTGCATCCTCATGACTAGCCCTTTCTGCTTGCAAAATGGTATTACTGTAAAAGAGGGAAGAGAGCACAAGATAGCAGCGTGGTGAACAAGGGATGGACTGGAAATAGCTGCTAGGACACATAAACCCACCCCAAGTTCCTCCCCAGCATGGAGGAATGAGGCAGGGTGTCCCTGCTGAACTCAGCACTGAATTTAGACAATTAAGAGCACAAAAATTGGGTGAGAGAGAAATTGAGAGCTATAGGACTCCTGCTGCAGGGCTGGCTCAAGGATGGCATAAATTAATTAAGGGACTAAGCATAATTTTTCCAAGAATCACAGAATCATTAAGGTTGGAAAGGACCTTTCGGGTCACCAAGTCCGACCATCCACCTACCACCAATGCTGCCCACTGGCCACGTCCCTCAGTGCCACAGCTCCACGGTTCTGGAACACCTCCAGGGACGGTGACTGCACCACCTCCCAGGGCAGCTGTGCCACTCATCACCACTCTTTTGGAGAAGTTTTTCCTAATATCCAGCATGAACTTCCTCTGCTACAGCCTGAGGTCGTCACCTCTTCTCCTCTCAGAAGAAGTGGCTGTGAGGCAGCAGTGGGAAGCCAGAGGTAAATAATTTTTTGCTTACGTCTTCAAAACTACATCTGAGCCTTTCTGCAGCCCTTCGAGGAAAATAAAGCATCTTTAGAAGAACAACCGTGTGAGCAAACAGCCTGAGGTGCACAGAGCTGCCCTGCGGAGCCCTGGGCTCAGCCCAAGCAATGGAAGTGCCCTTTGGGCAGAGCACCTGGATGGTGATGGAGACACAGCTGTGCCATGCCACAGAGCCAACGCGAGAGCAAAGAAACGAGAACGAGTGACAACAAGTGACTAATTAGCTCAGGAGGATGTTGCCTGAGTAAGCAGTCAGTCATTTCAGGATTCAGAGCACCGAAGAGCCCTCTCTCATGCGGTTATGTTGAAGGTCACACTGGTGTGATGTGCTGGGAATCAGGCCCAAGGCAAGAGCCCGACCTCAGATCTGCCATCGCACAGGGCTTGTTGAATTCCCCCTCTACCCATTTTGTTATTTCCTGATTCAGCTTTGCCCCATGTACCTATTCTCTCTGAACTTGCAACCGGAGAAGCGATGGGAAATTTTACCGGGACCGCAAAGGTACAAATGATAATTCAACTCATTGTTGTTTGCTTTTTTTTTGTTTCTCAAAATAAGGTTGAGTGCATATATCTGAGCCAATGGAAACATGAGGTGGAATTTTTTTTAGGTGGTTAATGTTTCCAGGCGTTTTCTGAAATGATTTAATAGGTGCCGCTGAGATCATTTGTGGTAACCGGGCAAAAGGTGTCAGCCTTCGAAATTCTCCTGATGTCCTTACACTATTTTTTTTTTTAATGCATTAATGAAGCATCCCAGCAATGACACTGCAATGCTGCTTCTGGAGCCCTGTCCCTGTGGCAATGCCATTGGGGTTGGTGCATCATCAGTATGGGGTTGGTTTTGGCCATGGGAGGATGGAACTTCTGGCCTCGCAGGTAAAGGCTCTTCCCATGGGCTGGACACTGAGTCATAGAAAAATGAGGCAGAGCTGCTTTGATTTCGCACACTTTCCTGGCCATTGATTGAAATGGCTGTTGTTTATTTTAAATCTCCTTCTCAGCTCAGAGTTGATCAGAAAATAAGTAGAAGTTGGAGCAATTTCAGCATCTGCATGTTATTCCAGCCTTATCTGGTACTTTTTCTACCCCTGACCACACATCCTGTTCCAGGGGAAGCTGCAGCTCCATCCTCACCCTGCCGAGACAGCAGGACTTACTGGAGGAGGTGTTCTATTTATCTGAGGTGTGAAATATAATTACCTCTGCTAGGTACTGTGAGGGTTTACAGTGATCAATTTGTGTGAAATCTCTGCAACGGGAGCTGAGCCTTATCTCCTTCCACTGTGCTGACAGCGCAGTCTGCGTAGATAAATCCCCATTTACTTGTTTGAAATGTGCTTGTCATTTAATTGACTCGGTTCTGGCTCCCGTCACGCAGTGCAGAGCAAACACTCAGCCCATGTGTGAGTCTCATTCGCTCCAAGCTTGGAGCAAAAGGTCCAGACCCAAACCAGAAAGCAGGATGTGCTCTGTCACGGTGAGACTGCCCCAAAAGAGCTTCAGAAGGGCTGGTGGAAGTAACACAGTGGGGTCTGTTGTGTGTGCACGTGCATGTTTGAGTGCAGCTCTGATATCTATAGGGTCACATCCACTGGGGACGTGGGGACAGGGAGGAGTTCATGCCATGCTCAAAGTCAAGAGCCATGCCTTGGCTCATGGCCATACCCAAACAACTCCAAAATGCTTGGCTCGCTCTACACTATCTAAAAGAGAATTCCAAAGAATATTCCTACGACTAAAGGTGTTGAACCTCTAATTGCAAAACAGAGAAATACATAATTTGAAAGCACTTTTAGGTCACTTACTGAGAGCTAATCAGATCGTGCTTGGTTGGGGTAGACTGACTAGTTGGATCAAACTCACAGATCCAACATCATGGCTCGTTCTGTGTCTTGCAGAGCCTCTTGCAGCACCTGGTGGTGTGTTACAGCACACCATGGCAATGGGCTGATGGTTGGACTAGATAATCTTAGTTGTCTTTTCCAACTTAGATGATTCTATGATTCTATGCTACACGGGACTTCCAAGAGAAATGAATGCTCCCCAAGCAGGTGGAAGCAAAATAAAGCATTAATTTTGCAAAATACAGAGAAGGCCAAAAAGCAAGGTGGCTTGAAGTGACTTAGGGATGCATACACCTCCTACAGAACATGAAGTCGGGACTTTAGCAGAGTGGGATTGCACCTGATCTCACCTACAGCCTCTCAGTGCACATTGCTGGGACCGTGGAGGAAGAGCAGATGGGACACATTCTGGGGACATGGACACCTTTTGTGAGAGGCAGTGATGGGCTGGATGCTCATCCTTGGCTTTCCTTTCCTTGTCCTGGTGCTGGAAGTAGTGCTACCAAAACCCATCCCACTCTCACCCCAATGTGCATTGAAACAAATATGGTTGCAGCAGCGATGAGCCTGGAACAACATTTTCATTTATTTTTAGCTCGAGTGGAAGCAGAAAGCAATAGAAATTTTGTCATTGAGCAATTTCTGACCCAATTTTGCAAACTCGACAATGTTCTGCTGCTCAGGTAAGCACGCAAGTGATTCCCCAAATATTGCACCTCTCTTTGGTTCCCCATCACCTCTGTGCACCTGGAGCTGCAGCCAGCAGAAAGGAAGGGCTGAGGTGGCTGCTGGGGATGTGGTGGACAGCACAGAGGTCACAGAGCCAACCCTGTGTCCCTCTGCCCCTTGGCTGCATCCCCGATTGAGTTCATTGCCCTCAGCTCAGGGTGGCCTTGGGTATGCCCAGAGCAGCAGCTGCCTAATGCCAGCTGTAATAACTTCCAGGCTGATGGCACTGAGCCTGTGCTGAGTGTGCAGCCGCAGCTTGACAGTAAAGCTGACACACTGAGAAATAATTCTCCTCGTTACGTCAGAGCCAGGAAACTCTTGCAATTAGAAGAATATCCTTTCCATTACAAGGCACTCGCCATTCACTTAATGCAGCTCCCTCTTGAGTGGCCATGCCCTGCTTTGCAAGCACTCATTAAGGATGTTTTAATTTTGGAGCTGTGATGCCCAGAATCTGTAGGCAGTGAGATGTCAGCTGGGTTTTAGGATGCTGCTTTAGGCTGCAGCAGGGCTGCTTGGATCTTTGGTGTTGTGCAATAGTTCTACCATTGGCTGTCTCTTTTTTTTTTGCTGGGATGATGCTGGTGGTACCAGTGCAAAGGATGCAAAGAAAAAGGTCCACCCTATGTTTCCACAGACTGGGATGTATTTCTGAGGAAAGGCAACCCTTTGTTTCCATTTACTGGGTGCTCTGCATCTGCAGAATATACAGAATGTCCTCTAATTTCCTTCTGAGTCAAAAACAACTGCTGCAAGTAGTGACATGGACTACCTCTTGCTTTGCTAATTCAAGCAGTAGAATAAGATTGCGGAAGGAAGGTTTGCTAGCATCTTTCCCTTGAAATTCACATTCCTGCACAGAACAATATGCAGGACATTTCTCAGTCTGTTTGTGATGCTCAGAAAGCCCACGCAGTGAACTGGAGCTGCCATCCTGCTCAACTGATTGTCACCAGTTCCTTGGTACAAGCCCTGGGATGACTTCAGTGCAGCTACGTGCAAATTGGAAATACTTCACAAGCAGGAGCACAAGGCACTAGCATCTCATCTATCTTGATGTAGCTTTTTTACATGTTTTCAATCATTTATCCTGGGAGCAGAAACACCATCCACTCCCCGTAGACAGCAGGTGTCAGATGGGAATGGCCTGGGTGAGATCTAGAGACTGCTAGGTAACTTATTCTGAGATGAAAATTAAACTTGATTCTCAGCACTTTGCCCACCTGCTGCGAATGGAACGTGCAGAATGCACATGCATCGGTGGAAGTGTGGAGTGCAGCATTGGTGCTGTTCCACACTTGTTTTGCACAGATGCATCTCTTTCAAAAGCCATGCAATGCTGCAAAACCCACCTCAGCTCTTGGCAGCTGCAAGCTGAGCCAGCCCTGCTTCCATAAAGCCCGCTAGAAAAACCATAAAAGTACCACGATTACATTAGCTTACTGTTTCCCCTGGTGCTGTGCAGAGTGAAGGTCTCCAGGCCTCGATCTCCTCGTGCAACCACCCCTCCAGCATCAGCTGTCCTTTCTGCAGCCATTCTTCAGCATAGAACCACCTTTTTGCAGCCCTGTCCCAGCCCGTCCTGCACTGGGTGAGCGTGGTGACAGCAGGAAGCCCCAAGCTCTGCACAGATGCTTCTTGCTCTGCGGAGGTTTCACACTGCAGCAGCTGAGCACCAGCTCCCAAAGGCAGAGCACGGGGTGGGGCGGGGAGGGGGATCAGTTAACGGCTTGTTTGTGCTCCCCAGCCACAAGAACAAGCGTGGGTGCTGCTTTTTCACTTGTAAGCTCAGTGGCTGCATTTGTTGGGTTGGACAAGCAAGGCAGGTTTCCTCAGGGTCTCAGCATCTCAGGCTTTCAGTGCATCCCAAGGTCTGGTTTTCTCTTACTATTTTATTGTCGGAAAAGGAAGGTGGGTTTTCTTCACAGAATCACAGAATCATCAAGCTTGGAAAAGATCTCTCAGATCACCAAGTCCAACCATCAACCCATCCTCACCATGCCCCTGACCACGTCCATCAGTGCCACAGAGCATCCATGGTTCTGGAACACCTCTAGGGATTGTGACTCCACCAGTCCCTGAGCAGACCTGCAGTGAATGACCACTCTTTCTGAGAAGCATTTTTTCGTAATATCCAATCTGAACCACTCCTGGTATAATGTGAAGCCATCGCTTCTCGTCCTATCACTGTTACCTGGGAGCAGAGGCCAACCCCACCTCACCACAACCTCCTTTCAGGATCTTAGAGAGCACTGAGCTCTCCTCTGAGCTCCCCTTCCCCACACTGACCCATCCCAGCTCCCTCAGCCGCTCCCCATCACACTTGTGCTGCAGACCCCTCCCAGCTCCATGCCCATCTCTGGACACGCTCCAGGGTCTCCATGTCTTTCTTGTAGTGAGGGGTCCAACATTTCTTCCACCAGAAACTTTTTTTATGGTCACTACTCAGCAAATAATGGGTCACTGTAAAAATATAAGACTTCTTAGAGACAGCTTGTATGGGTGTCTGCCTACCCTGCTGTCATGCTGAACACCTAATTTTACTAGGAAGCTTGGACTTCCTAGATCACTGCTGATCACAACAAAGCAATCTTAATCATCGGTGTCAAAAATTTACTCTTGTGCAAGTGAGTGGCAGCTAGCTGAGGTCATACAGCATGCTATTACACATTCATACTATAAATAAATCAAAAATGCAAAGCCAAGCACTGGAAGGGCAATGCAGGCAAACACTGCTCAGTTTCCCAGTTCTTGGCAGTGGGTGATGGGGGTTCCCTTGGCGCAGGGCTTTGCCCTACTCAGCAGCCCAGCTGCTGCCCCAGTGTGAGCACAGCCTTCTGGAAGCCATCCAGGCATGTTTCACCTGAACTCCTTCCTCATGTCTGCACATCTCTCCAGCGTGGATGGGATGGGCTCTTGCTTTTGCTGGCATCTGATGAATGACCCAAAATGTTTTCATGAATGAACCTAAATGTATGCAATTCACCTCTCCCATTCCCAGCCATCCTTTGTGCTCTACGCCAGAGGAAATGTGAACTGGTTTGATGACTGTCTGCTCTGAGGCATCCTGGAGGTAAGAATCAGGCTTTGGTTCTGCAGGAGGCTGCAAAGGCTGGAGGGCTTCTGTTGCTTTCTTTTCTTTGACAACCTGTGGGAAGGTTGGCAGTGGTTTGGGAGAAATGTGGAGGGACTTTCAGGGCTGGCACAGCTTTGATCTAAATAACTTTGCTGTTCACAAGCCAGGAGCAAGCACCAGTGCAAAACAATGTGGGAAGTAAGAGTGCTGTGTAACTAGAACTGTGGAGTCATAGAATGGCTAGGGTTGGAAGAGACCTCAAAAATCATCCATTTCCAATCACTGTGCCATGGGCAGGGTTGCCAAACACTAAGTTAGGCACTGGATCATGCTTTCTAGGGTCCCATCCAACCCAGCCTCAAGAGATGGGGCAACCACAACTTCTCTGGGCAACAGGTATTATGGTGAATCTGAGTCCAGATTAATTAGATAGGAGAGAGGATGGAAGCGGGAGAGGTTCCCTTTGGTGAGGAGCTTCTCCTTGCCCTTTGGGACCTTCCTATGCTTGTCCTGTATGGAACACCCAGTGTACAGTTTCTCAGGGTGTCCCTCTTCATCCGTCCCTGCTGAAGGTTCAGTTGCTCTCAGTAGGTTTGTTCACCACCCTGTGATCCCTTCCAGCCCCTCTGAAGGAAGCCCTGATCCAGCAATGTCAGTGGTGACATTCCCAGCAGTGACAGTCCACTCCCCCTCCTGCTTTGATCCAGCACATCGCTTACTTGGGTTTCATTACTTTAAACGAGGTTTAATTTAATTTGCTTTAAGCACAAGCAGCATAAGGCTGATTAAATCTGATCACAGAGCACCACGCCAGCAGCTGTGGCCACTTAATTCCATCAGCCAGAGCCTTGCATCCTGCTCCCAGCCCGTGCAGAATCTCACCTCCATCTGCACTTCCACAGCTGCTAAAAGCACACACCAAGGGACAGCCCGAGGACCTGTGCCCCTCCTGCTTCATTATCAGCTCTGAAAGGGCTCTTAGTAATTCCTGCTCTCCTCGTGGCCCCAGCATTCTCTTTTGCTCAGGGAATGCGTAAAGCGATGGAGAATAAATGGAATGGTGACGTCCTGGCATGGAGACTTCTGTCAGCTGTTTAAAGTTGTTTGCATTGGCACTTATTTCACTTGAAGCATTTTGCAATTTTTACAAAGCTCGGGATTGCAATTATTTTGCCTGGCTGATGGTAACACTCAGCACTAATTAGAACTGGCCAAGCCAGTTTACTCGGTGCTTCTTGAAATTTCATCTTTAGGTCAAAAAAACGATCAATCAAATTCTGCATTTCTTTTCTTTTGAAGCCAAAATGCTCCCATTCAACACCTTTCAGTACAATTTGTACCAAAGTTATGTTTAAAAAATGAGGCTTCGGTGTTAAATTTAGATACTTTTTATTTAAAAAAAAAAAAAAAAAAAAAAGACAAAAAGATGAATTCCCATGAAAACATGCAGTCAAACCTCTTCCCTCTCCTCCAGCCTCTCCCATTTTCTATTCTGCGTTTAGAAAGATGAAATGTTTAAAATGAGCCTGACCCAGGGCTGCCTCCAGGGTAGGTCATCTCCAAGGCTAATTCACCCTTTCTGAGGGCCTTCAGAAAGTTTGGTCTCCATGAACATTGAGTAAGTGTTGATGAATAACAACAGGAGGAATTCAATTCCGCCCCTTTGCTTCATACGCGCTCCCATGTCGGGCACCGTCCTGTCAGAGTGCCCCTCTGCTGCCATCTGTCACACTGCAACAAAATGGAATGGAGTGTTATTGGGAAGGTTCAGCCTCTGCTGCCATCCCACCAACATCTGCATCTGACGTCGTGGACAAGCATGATAAAATAGGAGGCATTACTTTCAGAGCAGCCCTTGAATTTCTGAAGAAGTTTTGCAAATGTTGGTGGTCCCAAACGTTCCCCCAGGAAATTTTGCCCTCGGTACCAGTGTGTCCCCATCCCCACACCGGGCTGTTTGTTATTGCTCAGCATCTCTTCCTCGTTCCACTTTGACCCTGTTACTTTTCAGCACATCCCACAAAGCTGCAGGGAAGAAGCGTTCCATGGGATGGGCTTTGACTCGGTATTAGTTGGCAAAACTCCCAGGGACAACAGCAAAACATGCCCGCGAGGAAACTTAGCAGGGGAATCACACCATAAGATCAACAGCTTGACATGCCAAAGAGCTGAAGTCACCTCCCTTGCTGGCTCTTGATCTGCATGCAATGAGGAATGAACCAAGACCGCAGAACTTGGCTTTACCTGCTGTCTCTCCCAAGGGACAGGAAGCCAGCATTGTCCCATGTGCTGTGGGGCTGAGCTGGCAGACCTTGGGGCTGAGCTCTTACTGGTTCGGTGGCACAGTGGGGCTGATGGTTGGACGTCATCATTTTAGCGGTCTTTTCCAACCTTAATGGTTCTGTGATTCTGTGTTTCTATGAGAGGCTTAGTGCCTGCAGGCCCATTACTGAGTGCACAGAAAAGACAGTTTTCAAGCTGTACAGATGCTCTGCATTAACTCCATCCTTTTTCGGGTGCCTGATGAGAGGCTGATTCCCTGAGGACTGCCCCGCTAAATGTTTCCCTCTGTTTCCTCCCCCCTCCCTCCCTTTTTTTCTTATTTTTTCCCTTCTCTCTGCAGACCCACAGAGCTCCTCATGCAGTATCTTCCCCTCTGCATTCTTTCTCTATCTCCCCACTCTCAGCTGCACCAATCCTTCAATAAGTCTGGCAGACCAATTTTTATTGATATTAATGGCTCTGGGTTCCTTTTATTTCAGGGCTGGAACTTTGCTTTTACCAACAAAATTTATCTCCATCAGAAACATTGACAGATCAGGGCATTTATCCAGGCATCTCACAATTGCTTTTTCCTTTTTGTTCAGTGGCAACCAGTAGGTTTATTGCTCAGTAAGAACAGTAGTGGAATCAATGCCCTGGTTATATTTTCATTTTTTATTATTAAAATCTTTTTTGAAACTAATGTATGAGCTGAGATGAGCACTGGGAGCAGAAGAAGGAGCTGCAGCTGCCTTCTGCAGCCTCTTGACTTGATCAATACAGTACAATTTCATTCCCAAGACACAACCACAGCATTTACTTCTTTCCCTTTCCTTTCCACAGAAGGCATCTGCAATACAGTGAGTGCTGACTATGAGGACCAATGTGGGCACACCAGTTAAAAACAAGATGTGTGTGACTTTATCCCCGTGCTTCTCCCTGGATATTATCAGGCAAGTGCCCAAACCCAAGAGCATTTTATAGAACACAGAAGCACAGAATGGCTTGGGTTGGAAGAGACCTCAATGTTCATTATGTGCCAACTTCTCTGCCATGGCAGGGCTGCAAATCAGGCATCAGTTCAGGCTGCCCAGAGCCCCATCCAACCTGGCCTTGGGCACCTCCAGGGATGGGGCACCCACAGCTTCTATGGGCAGCCTTCACCACAGCCTGTTCCAGATGTGCATCGCTGCTCCTTATGAAATATGTTTTGTGATATCTCTTCACCCAAGCAGAAGGGGCTTCTTGGAGGCTGGGTCTGAGGAAGGTCTGTTTATCCCTTGGAATGTCCCCAGTGCTGCAGGGACGAATCACCCACTAGCTGTGAGGGGTAGGGAGGGCATTGAGCAACACTCCTCTGACATCAAACATCTCCTGTTTCAGCTGGAAAGCCACCGCCTTGCAGTGCCAGTCCTGTGGTTAGGCTGTGCATCTACATTTATGCTGCCTTTTCCTGGCAGTTTCCTCTTGCCAGCATTGCCTCTAAATTCAGGCCAGAACTGCTGTATCACGCAGCCTGTCCCACAGGACTGAGGAAGTCATTTCACGTGTGTCAGGGTGACTTAATCTTGTTTCTATTTGCAGAGCGTCCAGCTCCATCAGCTTTTTCTTGGCTCTAGAGCAGGTGGACAACCACACTGCACCTCTTGCCACACCTCCTCCAACTTACC